GATTCCTTCCGGCTCCTTCCTATATCACAATTTTCCAAAGGGGAATAAACTGATTTCTTTCTTAGGACTCCAGTTTGAGCCATTAAGGCCATATTAACCTCTCCCCCCTCTTGGGAAGGATGCAACTCGCTCGGAGATCCTCCCCTTTTTGTCCCATCCCTGCCGGGAAAGTCTTGGCTGATACCATTTCTGATACCCATCACCCCCCAGGACTTCGCTCCGCTCCTTTCGTGTCTCTCTGTTTTGCGTTCCGCATTGGTCCCTTTTATAAAACCACGCCGAAATATTTTTTAGAGGCTTATTTCAAAAGTACTTTCTCATGAATACACAATTTTTATATGAGTTTGATCCTGACGAATACTTTTTCTATGCATTTTTGATACTTTTGGAGTCCAGAATGGGCATCGCGTAAATGGGAAGCGTGTAACTGGAAAGGCAGCCGGGTTCCACCTGCACCCCAGTCTGGAAAATGTGGATTGGGGTGAAATCGGTTTGAAATCCTGGCCAAGCCGGCTCCTTGGGCATCCTGGCAAACTGCAAGTTTAAGGATGGCAAAGAAAGAATTTCTCTTTGCTTCAATGCCGCTTCCGGGGAATCTGCATCTTTTTTCCCCTCTCTTATACGCTGAGATCCCTAATTACATCAGGGGTCCTCAACCGTGGCCACTTTAAGACTTGTGGACTACAACTCCCAGAATTCCTCAGCCAGCAAAGCTGGCTGAGGAATTCTGGGAGTTGGAAGTCCACAAGTCTTAAAGTGGCCACGGTTGAGGACCCCTGAATTACACAACACCCAAAGGATCTCAGCGAAATCAGAGGTAACTCTCACACCAAGATAAAGTTTGCAAATTTGTTTTTTAGCCTCGTGTGAAATAGAAACGCACTAAGCTAACACAACTGCACGCTTTGCAGCGTTCTGTAATCGGCGCAAATGTAGTCATACTTTTCTGCGGTGTTTTATATTTTCCGCCTGATTATAATAAGAAATTATCATGAAATGAAAATGATTTGAGAGTTGATTCATATTCAGGCAGTCCTCAATTTACAACCACTGTTTAGCAACCCCTCAAAGTTAACGACGGCACTGAAAATAAGTGACTTACGATTGGTTCTCGCACTTACGACTGTCACAGCATCCCCATGATCAAAATCTGGGCACGTACTGGTGGCATCCTAAAGCCATTTACGACTTCCCCAGCTGGCTTCCGACGAGCAAAGTCAATGGGAGAAGCCAGATTCTCTTAATGACCATGTAATTTGCTTAATAACCACAATGGCAAAAAAAAGGTCGTAAAATCAAAACTGCCTTGCTTAGTTACAGAAATTCTAGTCCCAATAACGGTCGTAAGTGGAGGACTGCCAGGAATGCTTATGAACCGACCCTATGAATAATTTCTTGTGTATTGATGTCCTGCGGCATCCTTATCTTAAAAGGCAATCCAGACCATTTACAGGAAGAGAGAGATCCATATAGGAGTTACGGTTTAAGGAGTCCCCCGGCGAAGCCTCCAAAACC